GGCAGTAGGAAGCCCTAAAGGAGAAACACAGCGGGTCCAGTTCCACACAAAGAGAAAAGGGAAAAGATGAAAGACAGACATTGGAATGATGGGCATCCAAGTTGGATCACAGTAGGGGTGGGAGTGGCCTTGAGCATCCCCAGGAAATGCCTTGAGAGGGGGCTGCCTGTTCTACCAAGGCTTGCTATTCCTCCCTCATGTACTGTTCATCCTGGCAAATCTGCCACCCCTAAAAGTCACTATCCTAAGAAGGAGTCACTGCTTGAGGACAAGAATAGCTTATCCTTTCGGACGCCGAGGCAGCGATGGGCTTTGCATGAGAACTCCGCAGAGGGAAAAGGGATGGATTTTAAATTATTCACACCAGGGCTTCTATTTTAGCTAAGACTACAGGAGAGAGACAGATAATTCAGGCCATCTGAGCCGAGAGCTGATGACCAGGGCCCATGCCACCCAGATCAAAGGAGGGGCCTATTTTTAGCGTTTGGAATGTGGGCCCCGCCAAGTTTTCTATCTTCAGCCAAACGGAGATCGTGATGGACGGCTCAGACTAAACTGGGCCTTTGTCAGGAGCTCTTTTATTTTTAGGGAGGGGGTGGATGGAAAAAAGTAAGTTCTAGAACCCAGTTTCTGAAAACCACGGACCCAGAGTCACAACGTTTCCTTCTGGGCTTCTGAGGCTTTGTTAGCCAGCAGGACAAAGTCTAGAATTCAGGGCAGATAGATCTGGACTGGGGCTCAAAAGCAGCTTTTATGCAGCTTGCCCACCTTGCTGTGTAACCTCCAACCGGGAGGAGCCACCCAGCTTCTCCTGGTCACCGTAGTAACCCCATTGTGTGGTGGTAATGAGGAAGCATAAGGTCCAGGGAAGCCATGTTATGTAAAGATCATAAAACCATGGCTCTAAGCAACACATCATAGCAAAACTCCTTTGAGAAGGGACCCAAATTAGCAGCTATTCTTAGGGCTGCTACTCACAGTGTGTGCACAACCCGGGTGAGCACACAGCCTCCATAGAAGCTACAATAGCAGGGCATTTGGAAGGTGCTGGGACCCAGCCCCCACAGCCTGGCTGTGTCCTCTCTTGTGACTCCCTGGGTTGTCTTGCTGGGCTCTATATTCAGCCACAGAGCGGTCCCTGTGCTACTCTGCTTGGTGGCACTTTAGTTTTTGATCTGATCCCCAAGGGTCTAGTTCCCAACAGAGATGGAGAGCATTTCCCTGATCAGCACAAACGCCCCAAAGAGCAGACCTCACAAGGACTGCACAGACACCCAGAATCCAGACAGCCGGGCTTGCTAAGAAAGACCTCAGATTGAAATGGGATTAGTTTTCAATGAAGGAAACCCTCACAGTGGCCTGTTGGAATGAGCCCTCCCCCTCTTAAGCCCCAGCACACTTTCCTATCAGCTCCTTCCTAGAGGCATTACTCTCCCTGTCTCTCTTAGCCAGAGACACTTGCCTGGGCCAAGGAAGTGTGGTGAAGTCTGGTAGGGCCTTATCTACTGCCTAGACAGGCTGTCTTCTCCACCTATTTGCCTCCTAGCTAGGCCCAAGTTCATGCCCTTTTCATGACTCAGGACGGCTGTTGTCTTTCCAAATGAAAAAGCAAAGAACGAGGGTGATTTCTGGGGTCTTTCCCCTGGAAGTTTGGTCCCTGATTCACTCCAAAATGGAGCTACTGGCCATGTGGCCAGTGCTGCAAGGGTGCCACAGAGAGCATGCCTTCTGGTGAGAAAGGGTGGCTCTGTCATGTGCGGGTACGAGATACCTGATGGGCGCCCTTACATCCCACCTCAGGTGGAGCTCTGAGCAAGTTTCAGAATGTGTTGATAAAGGAGGTTAAGAATGTGTGTGTGTGTAAGAGAGAGTATGTGTGTGTGTGCATGCACGTGTGTGCACTTGTGCAAGTGCACACACCTGCCCACACACATGCAGTCATAGGTGGACAGGCAGCCTGCCCCATTTTCTGGAGATTTCGCGCTTCTGTTTAGCTTTCTGGGCAGATTCTAGACCTGACTGTGGAACCATCAGGCTTAGGGGAAGTAGAGGGGAGTCCTGAGTGCTGGGTTCACAGTCACCTTTCCCCATCTCTATGCCTAGTTCCTCATCAGTAAGAAAGAATGAATCTTGCCTCTCTGGGCATAGGAGGTGTGCAATGTCAGAGTACAGGAAATGGGCCATTTGCCCCTTAGCTATAGCTGTGCGTTGTATTTTCTCACGGCCTCAAACTCCCCCCCCCCCCAATTGTGAGCATCCCAGTAACTAGTGACCAGGTAGATCAGAGAGATAAGACTAGGCCTACCATAAATTTCCCTTCCCAACTTCCCCTAACTCTGACTTGCTGACATTCAAAATCAACCCTCGACATCCCTCTGGCCTCTTTTTGTGTGTTCTATCCCTCCCTGACAGGTCGATTGCTTCCGGCCTCCTACCTGCTTGGCTGAGCCTGTTCCCTTCATGCTTCTCCCAGTGACCTTTCTCTAGGCAGATCACTTCACCTGTACCTGCTCCCCAGCTCCTGTCAAGTGCACATCACGAGTCTGAGCAGCTCCGTGGGCATGTGAGGCCTGAGCGAGTTAGCATGCGCTAGTGCCGGGAACAGTGCAGATGGCAGTGCCTTCGCGGGGTTGGTGGAGTGTGAGGAGCAGCAGGCGGTGTGCTCAGTGAACAGTGGCCATCTGTGTCGTCAGCAAGCTGCGCCTAGTCAGCAGAGACTGTTTCCCAAGGCTGCTGGGGACACCTCACCCCCGAGATGGATGGCTGAGTCAGAAGCTGGGTCCTCAAGGGACAGTGTCTGCATTCTTTCTCATTCTGTCAAGAGGGTGTCCTGGTCTGCCCACCAGAAGGTTCCTCCTCTGTTTCTTGTTCCCCTAAATGCCCTATAAGGCAGAATCCACAGTAGGAAGGAAGGAGGCACGGGGCTCAGCAGGATGCTCTCCTGGGACAGGTTCCAGAGGTCAGGACAATGGCTTGCCTAGACCCTTAGACCTCTCAGAGTCCAGCAGGACATAGACCCACAAACTGGTAAAGGAAAGAGGTCTTTCTCTGGGCCTGATAGCCCATCCCATCAGCCCTTAATAGTAAGACCCAGCTATTTATGTGGCGTCTGCATGGCATTTGCTTTTATAAGTAGCTAACAAGGACTTCTAAAGAGATGGAGTGTGGATACAGACTACACGTGAATACTGCGTCTTTCTGTATAAGGCCCTTGAGCATCCCCCAGCTCTGGGTATGTGTATGGAGGGCAGGGTTTGGGGGCATTTCCCAGAACCTATCCCTATGAGCTTCAAGAGATGACCATGCTCTTGCCACGCTGCCTGAGAGACAGCCAGGCAGGCTGTGGCTGCTTCCCAGCACCTCTGCCCACTGCTAGAGAGAGGCTCAGAGTGTCCACCCTGAAGGTTGGTCCCCCGTGGAACTTTACCCTACATATCACCTTGTACCCTGCCAGCACCCTGGTTCCAGAGTAAAATGAAGAGATCCCACAAAACAGGAGCACCATCCAGCTGGGCCTGCACGGAGCAGCTTTCATATCCAGGCCAAAAACTAGGTCGCCGTTTTGAGAGCTGCTGCAGGGGCCAGGCCTCAGGTTCCCCACAGCAGCCCCTACCTCCCACTCCGGAGGATGAGTGCAAGACAGAGCAGCATGGTCTTCGGAGGATATTGGGGGGCAGGGGGGGTGGGGTGGAAACAGGGAGCTCAAGAGCCCTGCAGAGCTACTTCCCATTGCCTGATTTCTCTTTGAAATTTATTTTGCAGCTTAGGTTTTCTGGCAAAGCCCAGGCATTTGTCGGTTTTCCTGTTTTTTCTCTTTTGAACTTTAGCCTTGGTCCTCTGAGGTGGGCACAGAGAGGCCTCTAGGTTGTGGGGAGTCAGCCACAACCAAAGGATACTGGGTGTGTGGGCCCAAGGTGGTCTTGGCCTCAGGGTCCCTACTGGGTCTTCCTTGGCCTCTTTCTTGGCCCTGAGGAGCTGCTATGGGTGTCTCCCCAGACCCCCAGGAAGACGCATCATGGATCCCATGATGCCTACAAATGTTAGCCATGAAATAAATATTCTTTACAAATGATCAGACCTGTTAAGCCTGATTAAGCCTTTCCACAGAACTGCGAAGAGTACATGTTAAATACCATACAGGGACATAGCTAAAGAAAGAAAAATCTGGAAATCTATCAGATCTTTCAACAAACCCAGAGATAGACTTCAGAGATGAATCAACACATGGGCCTAATTAAACAAGCTTAAAAAGAAATACCGCTTTATGAATCAGTTGGGGGGATCAGAAGCTCCCTCATTATTTCATAACGTCAAGGACTGAATAGTGATTGCTTTCCTCTTAGGCTTGAGAGTCGTATGTCGAAACACAGATGCCAGTGTCTGGAGCCGCTTCACCAGAGTGCAGAACACAGGGAGAGTGTGCACCAGACAACGGTGACCATGAAAGGACAATGGTGCGCTCTGGGTGGTGGGGCAGAGAGGGTCCCTTTAGTATATATGTGAAAACTGCTTGTTAAAGTCTAGAGGGGGAGGAGGAAGAGACGGGGATGTGGGGGACAAAGGGAAGGGGGAGAGAAAAGGAGAGAAAGGAAAAGACGGAGGAGGAAGAAGGGGCAGAAGAAGAAAGAGGAGAAAGAGAAGATTTGGGGAGGAAGAAGAGGAGGAGTAAAAGGGAGAAAGAGAAGAAGAAGGGAGGGAAAAGGGAGAAGGGGAGGAAGAAGAGGAAGAATCAAGACCCTAGAAACTGCCGTGGTAATGCTAAGGCTGACCTCCTGGCTCAGGTCCCACGTCTCTGGAGCACTTTGCCCTCACAGCCCCCACAGCAGGCTCCCTGCTCTGGCTCCCCAGAATCATCAGTGCCATACTTAGGCTGGCAAGCCCAACCTGAGAGACACGTGTGATGCTTCCCTGCCCCCACAGTGCACAGGCCTACACTCACTCTCCATGGAAGAATCCTCCTGTGAGGGACAATCCCCACAGAGAGACAGAAGGACACTCACCATGGAGAGACAGCTCTTCTGCTCCCGGATGATGGCCCCGAAGCCCAGGAAGCCGGTTGTCATGACAAGAGCACCAGCAAAGATGAGGATGTAGGCAGAGGCAACAAATGTGCTCGAGGCCAAGATGCTGAGGTAACCACTCTTCTCCACCAGTGTCCAGATACCCACAGCCATGACAGCTGCCCCACCGACCTGCAGAGACAAAAGGGAGATCAGGTAGCACCTGAAGCTTTGCCAACTGCCGCCTGTCTAGTGTCCATTGGGCACCAGACCCTCTTCAGGCACCGTGTCAATTAGTCTTCCTAAGGGTCTAAAGGAAGAATTTCTCTGTTAGCTTATAAACAAGGAAATCGAGGCTTCAGGTGCTCAGTGAACTTGCCAGCCCCTCCTCCCCCCCCCCCGCCTCCCCACCTCACATGCAGAGAGATTTCAGATCTAAGTTTAGCCCAAATTTATGCTTCTTACTGACCCTGGGTAAAGACCTCCCATACCATTCTTGGTGCTATTTTCGCAGAGTGCTCCTTGGTCTCTCCCAAATCGTCCCAGAGGGCCTTCATGCTGCACATGCTCACATTTGGACAGTGGGTGAAGAAACAGGTTCACTGGGGAAAGGTACCCTGCCTGAGGTCTTGTTTCTAGGATGGACAGATCTGGGAGGGATGGAGAGCTAGGATGTGTCCCCAGTGCCTGCTCTTTGGAAAGGTGTTCCCATTCCTCAGATCCCTGCAAAGGATTGGGAGGCAGCTGAATTTCCCTCTTTGCTCATTGGCATATTGCGGACTGATCCAGAGATGAGGCCAGACAGGAACCTGCTCACTTGCTGGTCTGAGAGCTGCTTCTGAGGAAGAGTGTCATGGAGCACAGCCAGGATGTCAGCCTCCAGGGATTAGGAGGCCGAAGAGCCATCTTGGTGGGTGTAATGCTTAACTAGAATGTTATTATATGCCACACATGCACCTAGATGCCACATACGGAAGACGAAGACTGTTTGCCCAGGACTCAGACTTCTGAACGGCTCTGCTGCCTGATCCTCGGAAGGTCAACTTCTCCCTACCCCTTGTCTTCAGGTCCCCATGGACTCTACTCCTGATAGATAGTGGAGGCTTCCTTAGAGGTCTTAGTATGGTCAAAGGCAGAGAAGAGAAGCCTGCTCCTACCCCACTCTATCTCTGCCCACACCTGGATGCTAATCCCCGTGAAAGGCTCCTCATCTGTACCATGGTGACTCCGTGGTCACTTCTCCCCTCTCTGTTCTGTGCAGTCACAGACCTCAGTGGAGCAAAGCCTGGGGGTTCTTCTTAGCAATTCACACACACCAGGCACCTACCTCTTGTGATTGGCATGTACTCTGTCAATTTCTTGTCTAAACATTACAACCATCCTGGGAGGATGGGGAAGGGTTTATCATCTCTGCCTAGCAGATGAGAAAGGAAACCGAGGCCCTCAGTAAGGCCAGGATGACACCATTAGTTTCAGAGCTGATTCAAGGCCAGGTCTTCTGAGGACAGAGGCAGGACTGTCCTTGGATCCCACAGAGTGGGTGTGCCTGCTCCTCCGCTTCTGCTGTTCAAATGAATGATTCCTTCCGAGAACTCTTTTCTCTCCGCTGGTTCCTCCAAGTGAGAGAAGCCAGCATGAGGGCACCGCACAGGGCCACAGCAATGCTGCTAAATGGAACTGGAGAGGCTGACGCGCCCACCATTGTGCGATGCATGCTGGCCCCCTTCCGGTTTTCCCTCTCTAAACTCAGGGCGAATCTCCTGATGAATGGCACCTTACACTATACTGGGCAGCATCTTTTCTTGGTGGAACAAACAAAAACAACAACAGCCAAAAATGATGTTTGGCGTCAGGAATCCTGGGACACGGCAGACTTTTAGAGTCCCTGTGGGTGGAACTCATCTATGGGCCACACAATTTCTGTGAACAAAGGGTTTCCTGAGTCTGGGTGGATGGAACCGAATAACAGATGTGGCTGACTGACTAATGGCTACCCCTGTCGGTCAGCTTCCATGACCACTGGGAACTTTGAGTAAAATATTACCCCCACAATTCCCTTATATAACTGTATTGTCTGGCAAGTTTGAGTGAGGCTCTCGACTTTGAATGATTGGTTCAGAAAGGGCCCTTTAATCTCTTTGGTCCTCAGTTCTTCCGCCTTTCAGTTGAGGGAGCCTTATTAGCTTGGTGGTTTCAATCTACAGCTACTAAAGACCCCTTGGTTACTTTCTTCCAAGGATCTTATGTATTGAGGTCTTTGCCTTAACAAACACGGCGCATTAACTAAGAAGTAACTAATTTTGCCTTCTCTTTCCTCTCTCCTTCAAAACAAATTATCTAAAGGCGTAGGATACTGCCGAGCAGAGATTCTGAATATTACGAGACAGTTAATGTGACCATGATGAATTATAATGCTATTTAAGAACTGAAAAACATGGTATTTAATGGGTGCAATCTCTGTAAGGACATAGACACACATTTTCTATTAGGTAGGCTAACTCTGAATCCCTACTCTTTCCCAAGCAGGGAGTAACCTGAGCCTTCATATCTTGAACCCTCAGAAGGATAGGCTCAGATTGGTCTGGGGATAGTTAATCTGTTGGAGCACAAGAATTCACTCAGAATCTGATAGAAAGAATCACTTAGCACACAAAATGATGCATTTGGGTCGGACTGAAGTCTGCTCATCCACCATGGTCAAGACACACATCCAGGTAAGTCTCCAAGTTTTCTCCATGTCTTCAGAGTTGTGGCTACATAACCACCTGGGGAGTCATGAAAACCCAGGGCTGGAACCCAGGCTAATTAGCACCTCTGGGAGTAAGACTCAGGCAGGGACATTTGGAGAATCACAGCGCGGGTCCAAGCGTCCTGACTTTCTCTTCCCAGTAGGTGGCGCTGTGTGAAGCCCTGCAGAACACAAGCTGGCCCTTTTCCTGGGAGCAGCTGCCCCAGGGCTAGAGCAGAGCACTTTGTCCCAGCACTGTCAGATCTTGCTAAGCAGCTGGTCCTTAGGCAAGCCGGGTCTCCAGCCACAACACAGGGTCTGGGAGAGATCTGGAGGGACATCCTGGCCTGATCAAGGTCTAGAAGACAAGCTCACACTAGGTCTGAAGACCTGAAGAAAGCAAGAAACTAGTCTGAATCAATGGGCCTGGGACCTCAAGCCCCCCCCCCCCCCCAGAGAGTTCTGTATAGTAGAGAAGGTAGTTACTGAGGGATCAGTACTATAGCTAGCCATGAGAAAGGAAATGAGAAAGTCTTAAGTCCTTCAGGGACTTTGATTTCTTGTGTGTGATTTGGTCACCTCTGAACAAGAGGTAAAAATGCTCACTCAGTGTTGGGATGGGGTACCAGAAGGTGTCACGGGGGGAGGGGGGGAGCAGAAGCCAGAAAGTCTGGGCCAAGTTCTTTTGGCTGTGCCATTAACTGTGTGATAGTGAGACACCAACTTCTTTAAGTCCCGGTGTCTTTATCTGCAGATTGGGTCACTGGGCAGGGGCTGTGGGGGAGGGGCACTGACCCCAGAACCCACTTTCCCAGCCGTTTGCATCAAGTCGGGTCTATAGTATTCAGTTCCTCATAGGACAGAGGTGGTCTTCTGTCAGATAGTTACTGAATTTCTCAGGCATAGCCGGTCACCAACGGGTCAGAAAATTTGTGTGGTCCAGGGCACTTGGCTAACCTGAGCAGCCATCCTTTAGCCTGACAAGACTAGAGACTTGGAGGAAAGCAGAGGGTGTGAGAGCAACTGCAAGACTTTTCTCTGTCAGGATTTCACAGGTAGAGTTTCTCTGCTGGGGACGCAGGAAGGACTGTGGGGCCTCAGGGAGGAAGCCTTGGGCAGAATGTTCTGCCCTCCGTGCTGGGCAGCCCATGGCATGGAAGGCAGGAAACATACAGGGTGATGGCATATGGGGCGTGCGTGCATGCATGCGTGCATGCGTGCGTGTGTGTGTGTGTGTGTGTGTGTGTGTGTGTCAGGGGCAGAGCAGGGCTGCTTACTACCTGCTCTGTGGCATTCTGGAAAGGTTTGGGGTTAGGCAGCAAGGTTGACCCATTCAGGACTGTGTTCCTCATTCATGAATGACCCCTGGACAACCTTTTCAATGGTACCCTCACTCATGCACCCAGCAGCCCTTGCAAGGGTGCTGCTGCTGTTTCTCTGGGATGTTTGCTTGCTGTTAGGCCACCTCCCTATCCTTGCTGCACGGTCTGCCTTGGCTCCTGTCCCAGGTCATCCTCCAGCTCTTGCTCTACCCAGGGGTGGACCAGGCTACTTACCGATCTGTACAACTGACCCCAGACCAGAGCCTCAGGCCGGGACTCTCCTGCATGGCCTGGAGGCCTTTAAATGTCTGTCCTCACTTTCCTTCTTCTGTGATCTGGCTTTAATGGCCATGTAGGAAATGTTCACTCTTTCTTTTTAAATCTTTGTATGTGTGGTGTGATGCATGTTTGGGGTGTGTAGAGAAGGGTATTGTGAGAGTCTGCCTCCACAGCATGTGTGGAGGCAGGAGGTTAGCCTCGGGTTTTGGTCCTCCTCTTCCACTTAGCTGACTCTGCCGAGACAGGGTCTCTTTGTTTGTCATTGCATACACCAGGCTAACTGGCCCGCTAGCATTTGGGATTTTCCAGCCTTTGTCTTCCTCTTGATGTAAGAGTGATGGTATCGCAGACTGTGCTCTGCTGTGATTGGCTTTACGTGACTTCCGGGGATCTGAACTCAGGTCCTCATCCTGCATGCTTGCCATCCCCTGATCCATCTTCTAAGTCCATGACTGCCTCTCTTGAAGCCACTGTCAGTGCCTCTGACTGTGAACTTGGGCAAAGTGACAGGGTCTGGGTGCCTGGTACAGAGGTGGATCTGTATCCAGGCACACTGGACTTCTGCTCATCTGGCTACAGTTTCTCATCTCTCTCTCTCCCATCCCTCTTACACTATCCTCTTTATCCCACGGAACGTCTTCTAAGCCCATCACAAGTGTGTACCTACTTCTAGCTTTGCAGGAGAGTTCTAGCTCCTTACTCTGGTAGCTCTCTGCCCATCCCCTCCTGGCATGCAGAAGCTCCACCCATGGTGTGCCCATGTCAGCTGGACTTCCCTCCAGCCTACTAGGGAGTTCCCAGGAAGGCCTAGGGGAGTGCTGATATATAATGTAAGATCCATGCTTTATCATTGTCTTTTCACC